ACACAGTCTTGAAAGTCTTTTTGGGAACTGGAATTAACTTTATTGGAACTAGTTTAAGTTCAATGTAATTACCAACATTATGTATTAAAGAGAGTTGCTTTCTTTTGCTTTCAAGTCTTGCTAGTAATTCTGCTGTTTATTGGACTTACCTTGTTACATGAAACTTTTTTTGACACGTTAATTTGGCGAATTTCACGTTTTAAAAAAATTGCAAATTTAAAGTGACGCAAGCAGTAAGTGTTGTGAACATAACACATTGTGTTGCTGTTGACATACAGTCCCGCCATTGCGTTTTTGTTACTTTTGACATTTTATTGTACCTTTGATAAAGTCGGTTTACCAAATTCAAGCACGTTTAAGTAACATTGCCAAGGAAATAAATTGTGATACTCAAAAATGTGAAGTTAAAGTGATTCAAAATACAAAATGTTTTGCAAAATCGCGGAACAGTCTGTTTNACATAACATATTATGTTACTGTTGACATACAGTCCCGCCATTGCGTTTTTGTTACTTTTGACATTATTGTACCTTTGATAAAGTCGGTTTACCAAATTCAAGCACATGTTTAAGTAACATTGCCAAGGAAATAAATTGCGTTACTCAAAACTGTGAAGTTAAAGTGATTCAAAATACAAAAGGTTTTGCAAAATCGCGGAACAGTCTGTTTAAGTGTTGCAAAATATGTACACCCCCAAATCATGAATAAACATGTCGTGCAAATTTCATGTTGTAAGGTAGTCAACCTCAACGCTTGGCTAGTAAAAAAAAAATTTTGGCTAGTAACATCTAAGTTATCACTAGCCACTTGGCTAGTAAGTTGAAAAGTTAGTGTTGAGCCCAGATCATGATAACACTAATTAATGCAGTGAACCATTCTTCATCTACAGATATATCTCTAGTGGAAACCAACTGAAGCAGGCAACATTGAGTAAAATAAACTGAGTTAAGACTTGCGCTATGTTACCTTGGAGACGTTCGAAACTTTGAAACAATGTTTTGCCTACTCCTACAAAGACCAAGAATTTTAAAGAGTGCTACACAACAAAGCACTGTAATAACTTTGTGGGTGACAGAAAAAATTATGATATAAAAGATGGAAAAGCTTGCAGTGACTAACCGTCATATTTTGCTATTTCAACATCAACTCCATCTTTCTTGGCTTGAGATTTCAGCCACCTGCAGT